GCCACACCCCACCCCACCCCCAAGCGTGAAGCTGACTACTGCCTGCCTGCCTGCCTGGCCTGCCTTCCAGGAGCACTGTCTGAACTTCGTGGTGAAGGAGTCCCACTTCCACCAGGTGATCATGACCAAGGATTTCGAGCAACTCCCGTCCCAGCTCATTGTGGAGATTGTGCGGCGGAAGCAGCAGCCGCCCCCTCGCGCCCCTTCAGACCAGCCTGTGGACATTGGTAGGGAGCTGCCCCTGTCCCCTTCCCTGCGAGGGGCCCGCGGAACATGTCCCCCATTGGTAGGAAATTTGGACGCCTCAGCCAGTGCCTACCAGGGCCTGTGGGGGAGACCAGTGGGACCCCAGGTGTGTCACAGGCATGCCCATGCCAGGGCATCTCTGTGGGGTGAAGCACCGGCCACAGGGCAGTCCCCAGCAGCTGTGCCAGCTGGTGGAGTGACCCCTAACCAAAGCCCATTGCTGGTGATGGAGACTGGGTAACTCTGTTTGGCTGGGGAGTCAGGCCCAATTGCTTCCGTGGTCAGTGATGGGTCTGGGGTCACGGTGAGCCCTGAGCTGCTGTCTCCTAGCTATACTTGTCTGCGGCCTAGAGAGGCATGAGAAGAGCCCACAAATCCCACTCAGCCTGCACCCCCCTGACCCCAGCCCCTGAGCCCTCTGTGCCCCGGGACACACCAGAGCCCCACACAGCAGGGCAGGGGCTCCAGGCAGGGAGAGTGCCAGGTCAGACCCTGGGGCCTGAGAGGCTGTGTCAGGGCCACAGGGCTTGAGCATGCCAGGGTTGAGAAGGCAGGGTTGGCACTGCCCGGGGCCCGGGTGAGGCCTCCGGCCAGGAAGGCTCTGTCCAGAGGCTATGTCCGATGTGGACAGGTGAGCAGGGAGGCGGTACTCGAGGTGCCGGGGAAGGAGGCAGGTCTGTGGGAGGCTGGGAGGTACCTATCAGGAGCCACCCTCGCCCCTAGGCACATCGCTGATCCAGGACATGAAGGCGTACCTGGAGGGGGCAGGGGCGGAGTTCTGTGACATCACACTGCTGCTGGACGGGCACCCGCGGCCAGCCCACAAGGCCATCCTGGCCGCCCGCTCCAGGTGGGCCGGGGGCGAGGGAGGTATGGGCAGCGGGCTTAGCCTCTGGCCGCCGTGCTGGGCCACCTGCGCTGAGCCACGCTCGCCACCCTGTCTGCAGCTACTTCGAAGCCATGTTCCGTTCCTTCATGCCTGAGGATGGGCAGGTGAACATCTCCATCGGCGAGATGGTACCCAGCAGGCAGGCCTTCGAGTCCATGCTGCGGTATATCTACTACGGTGACGTCAACATGCCACCCGAGGACTCACTGGATCCTCGTGCCCCTGGGGCTCCCAGGCCGCTGCTGGGGGGGGCCGGCAGTCTGCGCCTGATGGCCAAACCCCCTGGGAAATTTCCTGGTGCCTGGCGCTAGGCCTGGTGCTCAGTAAGGGTTCTGTGAAGGGTGATACGCTTGGCCTCTTGTGCCCAGCTGCCTGCAGAAGGGCCGTCCCGGCTCTGGCAGGCAAGCAGACACATGCGGAGCGATACCCTGGCATTCACTGGGCGTCTGTGCACAGGGCTGCAGGACGCCTGGCGGGGGCTTGGTGAGGCCGGGAGGGTTCTGAAAAGAGGCATGCCAAAACCAAACTCACTGCCGTCGAGTCAATTCTGACTCATAGCGACCCCCTTTGGGTTTCTGAGGTGGTAAATCTTTACGGAAGTGGCTTGTCCACTCTTCCTTCTGAGGAGTGGCTAATGGGTTTGAACTGCCAACCTTCTGGTTAGCAGTCAAATGCCTTAAGCACTGCACAACCAGAGCTCCTTGCAAAGATGCATAGAGGCTATTTTTGGAAGTGGTTCTGAACCCCATTTAGAGAGTAAGTTATGGTCCAGTCCAGGCTTGAGCTCAGCCCCTCTTCCCTGTGGACCCCAGGGCCAGTCCCTCCTGGGGAAAGCAGGCCACTCTGGTTCTGGGCCAGTAGGAGGAACAGCCAAGAGCCCCCCATATCCTCTGTTGGGGGACAGAGGAGGAAGGTCGGTGGGGGGCTGGGGTCCCTGTGCCTGCAGCTCCTTAACCAGCCCCAGCTACCTGTTTGCCGCTCCCTACTACTATGGCTTCTACAACAACCGGCTGCAGGCCTACTGCAAGCAGAACCTGGAGATGAACGTGACCGTGCAGAACGTGCTGCAGGTAGTGCAGTTGCCTGGCTGCCCTCCTCCGGGGGTGGGGCAGGAGGCAGGGGCCGGGCCTCAGGCGGCGGCTCTTGCAGATCCTGGAGGCAGCTGACAAGACGCAGGCGCTGGACATGAAGCGGCATTGTTTGCACATCATCGTGCATCAGTTCACCAAGGTCAGGCCCCGCCTCCCACGGGGGGGGTGGCCCCCAGAGAGGTTTGCCCTTGTGCTAATCTGATTGTGGCCCATGTTGCCTTGGTGGGCACTGCCCCCCGCAGGTCTCCAAGCTGCCCACGCTGCGAATGCTGAGCCAGCAGCTGCTGATCGACATCATCGACTCCCTGGCCTCTCACATCTCTGACAAGCAGTGCGCGGAGCTGGGCGCCGACATATGAGGACGGGCACGCGGCCCTGCCCACTGCAGCCACGCGTGGCCCTGCAGCGGAGGGGCTGGGAACGGTCAGGCAGGCTGTCCAGATCCCCAGAAGGGAGCTGGGGACATGGGGGGCTCAGACAACTCATTGCACTGGTGGGGAAGCGTGGCTGGGAAGCTGGGTGCAGAAAGGCCGTGGGGGGGCATCTTCTGACCTCCTCTAACTTCACAAGAGGGAGACAGAGCCACCCTCAGCAGCCCAAGGCTGATTCCTATGAGGCCAGACATGCCACCACCCACCAGCCTACTTCTCTGCTGGGTTCAGTAATTCGTTGCAGTGGCCGCACAGACTCACAGACAATACTCACGATAATGGGGATTATTGGGGAAATAACAGGCTACAATTCAGGTTCAGGAACACTCTTGGGATACAATGCTTCGATCAGGACAGTCTCCCCTCTGCAGTGCCCTCAGGCTCGCCTCTCTAGCCCTGAGCCTCTCGGCCCTGCTTGGGCAAGTGCTAAAAGCTCTTTTGGCCCTGCTGATAGGTACCCCTAAGTGCATCCCACTCCGCCAGCAGGTCATCTCAGCCCTCCCTCTGCCAGGAGGTCGGCACAGGGATCTTGGGTCCAAGGACAGGCTCCCCTCCACCTCTGGCTCTTCTGTTTTGATGGCTTTGAGATTCCCCTCTGCCTCCAGCAGGGCTCATTTTAAGCCCAGAAGCACAGCTAGACTAACCAGCCCTCACACTGGAGTTCCATACATGGTCCTACGACAACAACCCAGTAATCTGGTGGGAGTAACCAAGACCGGGGCTGGAGAAGCCAGACCAAGTCAGCCACTGCCCCACAGGCCACCCCTTGGCTTTTCTAGCCATTGTCCCTTTCATACTTCAAAAGTGAACATCTCCTTCACAATCAATTTAAGAATTAACAAACCTATCAAAGTGTGTAAACCAGCCACTTCATGCCTTTATCTCTTCCCATTTCAGATGGCCAATTTCTGAATTACCCATCCCTATCAAACCAGTGCTGTGAGACAGGCATGTTCCTTTCTGAAGAATCTGCTGTTCCACTTGGAACTTGGAGCATCTGTACCCATAAGCAAAGTCCAGTCCACAGTAAGCTATCAGATTGTAGCGACTTAACACCAGCTCCATGTCAAACATCTTCCTCTTCATTTGGTCAGGTTTGGATCAGCTCAGTCCTAGCCATCCCAGCTAGGTCATAGATGCCAGCCGCAAGCTTGGGAGCCACACTCCTCACTTCACTTCAGACCAGCCAGCACCTTGTCTGTCATCCCTAGTCCTCAGGGACTAGTCCAGTTCCCGTGGGCTCAGGAGTCCACATGAGTCCTTGCACTGAGTCCTTGCTCTCATCCCCAGCCCGTGTGGAAGTAATAATTTCAAAATTCCTAAGTTAGAGCGTGCGCACTCGGCCCGTTCATTGTCACACCTCCCCTGCTTCCTCTCAGGTGGACCCAGGTGATCACAGGCAAGTGGCATACAAGCCTCCTACCCACAGGCTCCCTTTAGCTTCCAGTCCTGGAGGGGGTTTCTCTAATGGCCTGTGACTTTCCTGCTTCCATGCACCCAAAGCCAAACCACTTGAAATTCAAGAAGTCAGAAGTCATTTTTTTCCTCTGTAAGTCCTTCCTTCAAAGGTAAATCTGTTCTCTCAACAGATATTGGTGGGTTTCCATGTCTTTTCAAATGCAAATTTCCTGACTGAAGGTTCTGGGTGGGGCTCAGGTTTTCTACCTAAGCCCTCAATGCTCTATACACAGGGCTTAAAACAAAAGCCTGTGTTTTTTCTGGGTAAATTCTGTTTTCCCCTTTAACATATCCAGTCAAATATTGGCTGAATGTGGACTTTCTGTTATCCATACCCAATGTTAATTTCTAACATACAACTAGGTAAAAGAACATTCAGTATCCATAGTACATTCAGATAAATGCATGACCCAAAACACAGAATCCTTTTGACCACATTCTGGTTTCATCTCGACTACCTTCCATTCTATGCATATACCCTTGGCCTCTGCCTGGGAGGAAGCAAAAGCCCAGGCACCCGTCAGTCAGCTCCTTTCATGGGCCTGGCTCTTGCCTCAGGCCTTTCTTCCTCAGCTGCGGCATCATGCTTCTTGTATTCCTTTCTGCCACACAGGTGACCACCAAAGTAACCATCTAAGAATCCGAAGGTGCACTTTCCAGGCCCCTTCTGTCTTTCTCAAAGAGTCCCATGCTTCCCTGAGTTTGGAGCCATTGCAATGAATTACTTCTGACACCAACTGCAAAAAGGGCATGAGGGTGGTATCCACTGACTTCTCTAACTTCACAAGGAGACAGTCACCATCAGCAGCCCAAAGCTTATTCCTATGAGGCCAGACATGCTACCACCCTCCAGCCGTCTTACCAACTCTAATACACACTGTCCTTCCCACAGCACTCACTACTACTCTGCTGGGTTCAAGAATTCATTGCAGTGGCCACATAGAACGCACAGATGTTACACTAATGGGGTTTATTAGGGAATGACAGGTTACAATTCAGGTTCCGGATACTCCCAGACCAAGACATTCTCCCCTCTGCCACACCCTCAGGCGCGCCTCCACCCTGTCTGGAGAGCGTTACAAAGCTCTTTTAGCTCTGCTGATGGGTGCACCCCACTCTGAGATAGCAGATGTTTCATAACAGATGTTTCAGTGACCCACTCCAATTCCCTATCAAGCCATTACTTTGAGGATGGTGTGCAACGTGGTCTGTCCACTTCATGTGTTGTTTCTTGGCCCATTGCTGCCACCTGTGGGCTGTAAAGTGTGTTCCATGGTCTGAGGAAATATAACTCGGTGGCCTAAATTGTTACAGTATCTTTTGTTCTGATCCTTTAATGGTGTTTTGGGCGTTTGGATCTGTCATGGAGTAAGCAAAGCTCAGTCCAGACTTCGTATTCCTGTGAGGACCCATTGATAGCTAGAGGTGTCGTGGGTCATGTATAATTGACTTGCCGGCTGTGGGCGGGGCCTCCTCCCCGGGGAATCTGCCCCGTGGTTAAATGTCACCTCTGGCTTGCTGACAAAGCAGTCCTTGTTGGCATTTTGTGCGTCTGAAGGTGCTAGAGGGGTGTGTCTCAATTCAGCCCATCTCTGCCCCGCTGCAGCACCCCCACCCCGTGGCCGCTCATTTCATTAACCTAATTCACCTCCTCAGGGGAGCTTACCAACATGTCCACTTGCCGATTCCATTTGCCTTCTAATCCAGGAAGGAGATTCTTCTGATGGGCATCACATGGCTTACAATGCGTCCCCTGCACTCCTAGCATGTTTCCCGTAGGTTCATGCCCCATTCAGGTGTCCCATTAATAGTCCAGTTTCCCACCAGCCATATAACCAGGCCATTGGCCACTGTCCCCGAATCAGTAAAAATCCAAACATACGGGCTCTCACCATTGCCCAGCTCTTCCATGACAGCTAAGAAGACAGCATGCAGTTCAGCACATTGAGGTGGCCTGTTTTTACCTTCTTCGGTCAGGGTCTTGCCATCTGTTGCTCTTAATGCAGCAGCTTTCCATGTCACTTGTTGTCCAGGTACCCTGGAGCTGCCATCTGTGAACCAAGGGGCCTTCTGCTGATCCACAGAAGGTTGTTGACGGGGCGCTGTCCGCGTGGCACTGGTGTTCGCAGCTCCTCAAGTGGTTCCAGGGTAGGACCTCTGGGAAAGGAGGCTACCTTATTATCTTATAATCTTATTGGGAGTGATTTCCCTGCCTGACCACCGGCCTTAGCGTTATCATCAGCTCTGGCCACTTGGAACCAGGTGTCTCAGTGTTGGACCTCTTGCCCTGCAAAGACGCCCTTTGGTTGTTCACCTTACGGTATATAAACCTGAGGGGAATGGTTCGTGGATACAGTGGGGGTCTCCCTTACTTCCTCCAGTCACTTGTTCTTGTATGAACCATTTCCACTTTATTATGGAACTATTTTGGGCATCGCCTTCCTTATTAGAATGTTTCTCTGACGTCACCCAAGACACTGGGGGTATTTGAGGTCTCCTGATGATTCTGTGTTCTGTCATGGGAGCAGTCTCCGTCAGTGCCCAACAGCAGGTGAATAACAGCCTTTCTAATGGTGTGTATTGAGTTGCATCACCTGGGAACTTTCCAGTCCAAAATCCCAATGATTGTCATAGGGTGGCATTGTCCTCAGGTTTTTTGCTGTAAGCTCCAGGCTACATAAGCACATGAAGCAGAGTTAGGGTCTGTCCCCGGCAAAGCAAAACTTCCAGATAAGTTTGTGCAGAGAGACCAGAAAACTGACCCAGAGTCACTCAGAGACATCAAAGTTTATTCGTGGGGAGCTTATGGAAACAGCAGCACTGCATCCCACAATGGCCGGCTGGTCAGGTCCACACACCATCCCTGCCATTTCCCTCAGGTTTATATACCATAAGGTGAACAACCAAAGGGCATCTTTGCAGGGCAAGAGGTCTAACACTGAGACACCTGGTTCCAAGTGGCCAGAGCTGATGATAATGCTGAGGCTGGTGGTCAGGCAAGGAAATCACTCTCAATAAGATTATAAGATAATAAAAATGAAACTCACCGCCTTTGAGTTGATTCTGACTCACGGTGACCCTTCCTTGGGTTTCTGAGGCAGTATCTCTATGGAAGTAGATTGCCCAATCTTCCTTCCAAGGAATGACAGGTGGGTTAGAACTACCAGCCTTGTGGTTAGCAGTCAAATGCCTTAGGGACTGTGTCACCACAGCTCCTTGATAGGAATGTGGCCTTGAGAGGGAAGAAAGGAGGGGGTGGGATGACTTGGCATTTTCTTTTAAGATGGAATTTGCTTTCAAGATGGAGTCCAGAAGCCATTTTTGGGTGTTTGAAAAACTATCTCATACACTCCACACCAGTGCCACTAAATGGCTGGCACAATCCGCGTGAGCCTGTTCAACTTGATCCCTCAGACCTGAGCCTTGTAACATTGTAGCCACAGACCACCACCACAACAAAATAGCAACAT